GGAGAGAAATGAAATTGGATAAAGAAAAAAAATGATAAAAGCTTAATTTATGAGTTTAATTCGAGTTTAATAAAAGTTTAAATAAAACATCATAATGTCACACTATAATTTATAATTATTTAAATTGTACGCATTAGTCTAATTTAAGTCCAGATTAATTGTGAGGTGATACTAAAAATAGTAAAGTTTATTGCTCATGATTTCTTTGTTATTGATCAACGTAACAAATGTCCAATTATATAATTGTCAAATAGGGGAATATGTTAATAATACAATAAATAATTAGACAATTGGAAATATGTTCAAATCCATCAAATAATACGAAATATATCAAAATATATCAAATTGTCCGATTATCTTAAACTGGCACATGATTTTCACCAATATGCATATAAATCATTTTGAATCATTCAACACTGGTTATAGATATCAATTCTTTTTAACTGTATTTCTAGACATTTTTATTTTAAACATGTCAGAATATTAACCATAGTTAATGATAGTTCACCAGCACCTTCTTGATATTCTTCTTTACCACTTACTAACCAATCAATCTCTTTAGCTATTTGCTCTTATATAGGTGAAAACTGTTCATTTTGCAAATTTGTAAAGTTTACAAAAATGATCATAGAGTCACCAACAACTGGGTTAGAAACTGTATGAAAAACTAGATTCCTGAGAAGTATAAAGAAATTACTCCAGAAAAATATGAAGAAATATGTGAAAAGGTTCTTCATTATAAATAAAAAAAAAGTGATTGGTTACTTATGTAATGATGGTTTGCATTTCTCATTGCATTATTGCATTGTTATAGTTGATATTTATAACTAACTTTAATTAATTTTCCCATAATAGGTGAAATTAGAAACTTCTAATAAAATCTTGATGACTTATTGTCAAAGTATTATCAATGAAAAAAAATGAAAAAGGACAGGTAAGTCAAGATCTTTATTCTAAATTTTGCTTGTTCAATTACTTGGCACATTTTTGATTTTGTTCATTTTATTATATAAATAGAATTTGGTAATGAATGATTAAATATCATTTGAAAACTAAGGATTTCAACATTCTTGCATTCAAAAAGAAGGAAGTACTATGCAAGAAGATTTGTTAAATTCTGTCAATGAAGCTTAAAATACCTTCAAAGAGGTCCATTTCCTTTGTAATATAGTAAACTTAAAACCATATGGTATAATGATGAACTTGAATCCAATTTTTATGTAATTGACTTTGGAAATTGAGAAATATTAGTGAAAGTACATAATTTGTTAGAAAATGATGAATTAATGTCATTATTTGAAATATTAAAATTAGATGATAAAGAACTTCATTTAAGTCCAAAAGCACTTGATTATTTGCCATTATTTAACACAATTTTAGAATCTGAAGAACAAAACACTGAAGATGATGATCCAATTAAAGCAAAACTTACTAAACATCAATCTTACCATATTGATATTCATATTATTAAAAGTATCTCAAGTCACATTGATAGTTACACTAAAATGTAAAGTGAAATGCTTTGAAAAGGAGATATGAAAACTTTACACAAATAATTAGGGGTAATGAAGAAGGATTTCTGATCAAAAGCCCAAACAGCTTTGATTGCAGTTGTTTTAACAAGATGAATGATGATATCTGGATGCAGACAGGTAATTATCAATTTCAAATTTGTTTTATGTAAACAATTTATAATTTATTTATATTTTTATTTTATTGGATTTAAGATTTGTACAATGAGAATATAGATGACAAAATGCAGCTAATGATCATCATCAGTGTGACAGTGTGAATACCAATACAGATCAAGAAGAGAAGGAGAATACCACAGAACAATCTTGGACAGCACATGTTCTGTCATATTTTTTTTTTATGACATTCAGTTTCTTGGATTCTATTCAATACTTTTCATGTGAACATCCATTTCTACAAAATCAGATTTACAAGATACTGATTATAAGGCAGATAGTGCAGAATTCCTTAAACAGCCTGACCAATCCCAATGTTTTGCTAGATGTTTCTGAGGTTCCTAATAAACTGGATCTAATAAAGAAAGGCATTTTTGCCCTAAATAAGTTTATAATAAGAACATTCTTTCCATCATGGGATGTATGTGAAACTTTGGGAATCTTTCCAGCACAAGGTCATAATAAGTCACTATTAAATATTAGTGTATAAATTGTTTATATATCTTAACATTTAATATAACTATTACAGACAATTATCTTGAAATTGGTCAAATGATATATATTGGACCAGGGTTGTACTTATTTTCACCATTTATGGTCCCAAGTCTCACTATTCCAACTTCTGCTGCTAATTTGGGATATGCAGCTCAACTAATTCAAACATTACTATGCTTGAGACATAATATTATTAAAAAAAATGCAAGAGTATGGAGAATTGAAAGAAAAGTGCAACAGCTTATTATGAATCAGACTAATAAGTATATCACTGAGGCAATGTCAGATGAGGAAGAACTGTGACATTTAAACAATTTTTTACTTAAGATATCAAAAAGGAGTAACTAGTAAGGAAGGAAGAGTTCAATATTTGTATCCAGATATATATGTGATTTCAAATTAAATATATGTGGTAGTAGAAAGCATTAAAGATAATAGTATTTCACACATTATATATTTCATATGCAAAAAAAAATATTGAATGTTTGTTTGCTTACATTCATACATGTTTTAAATGATCATTTTATTTCAAAAAACATTTTCTTGATACCATACAGTATTTTAAACAATTAGCTCATTTCCCTATAAAAATTTTTTCAGAAAAATGATCACGTGTCTGAGTTTCTTTAGAACAAAACTAGAAAAATGATCATTTATTGGAGGTTTTTTCCAGAGTTTTATTCACTAATAATATGAAAGACTCATGCAAATTTTTTATTGAAACTTTTTTTGATACGTATTTTTATAATAAATATACTTATTTATTTACTGGAAATTTGCACACCTTTTTTTTTATAATACCGAATTGTGTTTTAATATAATACCATTTTGACACTATAAACAATAGTATTTTAATAAATAATAAATGTATATGAATGGCATGATATTTATTTTCGTACAATATACTCGCTGGTTATAAAAATAGTTATTAATATTCTACTGATTGCTAACCAAGAGCTCATATGCGTACCACAAAAAAATTGGATTTTGGCTAGGAAAAGTGCCCGCTAATTAAATGGTTTTTTTTAATGACGCGTAAAAGATTTTTGTTCAATTGACGAGTATAATGACAATACAAATCGCAAATTGTCAATCGCAAATAATACTTTGGCTGCATCAACTCTTATAGTAATTCGAATTACACTCCTAATAATTCATCATAATCTTCATAATATTTCTTAAGGATTATTAAAGAAAGTAATTTTTTTGATACTCTATTTTCCCAACTTATGAAAAATGATTCTAAATCTTTCAGAGTTACAAATTTTAAATTTGAGTCATCATTATATATTTTAATTCATTTGTGATGAATGATTTGCAAAAATTTCTAATACTTCCGTTTCGTTTAAATATTCTTACCCATAACCAAGTTTTAATGTTTTTTCAACTATTGAAATTCAATAAATATTGCTTGTAATAAATGTAATTTATTACTTTTTAAAAATTACAAAAGATTTTGAAGATTTAGACAAAAACTAGCAATAGATGAAATTGCTGCACTCTTAAGTTCACATATAAAAGCTGCATAATTAAATAGTGGTAATTTTAACGAGATGAACAATTTCACTTTCAGATAAGATTTTTTTTTGAATTAACAGGAAGGCATACAATTAACATGCGAAGAATCGATGATTTCACTTCGAATCGACGAGAAATATCAGAACCTTCCATTCGAGTTCTCTGAAAGAAACTATTATTCTAAAGGAATCTGGACTATTTTGACGGAAACTACTCTTTTTAAATGAATCTATAAGATAAACATGTCCTACGACATTATTAAAATTATGTTTTAGTTTCTGAAGGACGTTAGGGTAATGAAAAATAGGACAGCCCCTGAATAAGAGTTAAAAATTTGGATTAATCATTTCGTAGAATAAGTGTTGAGGTCTTGGAATCTTTCTTTCTTTTAATTCTGGTGAAAATCTCATTTTCTTTACCTCCGTCACTCCGTGTACGAAATGTTGAAATGGTGATCATTGATCACGTGATAAGTTGTTATCGTTGAAACAATATTAATTAGAATGGCGCAACAAACCATTAAACATACCGGATTAAATACGTAATTTAAAAGTTTGTGGATTACCGAAAGAGATTAGAGAATATGAAGGAGCAGATGCCGTCATACCGGTAATGCTATCATCGTTAAAAGATCTGGAGATGGAAGTGGGCTTTCCAAAGCAATTTGTGAAAGTTCTTCGTTGTGATAAGGGATACATTTCATTGACTGATGATATTTGTGGTATATGAGTCTAATAAAATAAAATATTATATATATATATAAATTTCTTTGGATAAAGAAAAAAAATGATATATTACAGATAATGCAACAGGCCATTCATTTTGATCGTATTGATTATGAGAATTATCAGTCTATTTAACACTAAAATGTGAAAATAACCATTTAGTTAATAATATGAAAAAATTTTGAAAAAAAATAATGATTAATTACCGAAAAGGAAAATCTTGTATTTTGAGTGCGGAATTATTTTGTGATAATTAAAAAAAAATAGTTTACGTGATTATGAAAATTCTTTTTTCTTTTTACTTTAATTGTAAATAATTATCATGCTTTTACTTTGTAATTCTTTGATACTAAAATAAAATAAAAGGTTTATTTTAATATTAAAAATATTCTGATAAAAAAAAAAAAAAATTATATAACGAACTTGATCGTAACGATTTTTAATAAATGGTGTTTGTTAAAGGAATCAGAAGCTCTTGTTGGTGATAGTACTTTATTGTCATCAATCATGTCGGGATGACTGCACGTGAACAAAATTTTATTCAATTATGTTACCTAAAAGGAGATTCTTTGGTAACTTCTCCATGATAAGTTCCAAGAATTTCTTTTTACAAAACTTTTCATGAAAAAAATGTTTTACGATATTGAAAAATTATTAATATGTATGGTTAAATCTTTTTATAAATGAAGCTGCAATTGGGTACAATTCAATTAATATATTCATATTATTACAATCTTAAAATGGTTTACTATTTAATATTGTTTTGTTTAACAAATTAATTAAATCTAAGATAAAAATTATTATTACACGCATATTATCTTGATTTTTCTTATTCCGTCCGTCTTTAAAAAAATTCAGACGTGCAAAGTAAATAAATATTTCATATCTTGACGACCGTAAAGTTTAATTCTGTCATGAAACTCAATACATTTCTTGTGACATCGTTGAATTTGAACCGTAACTTTCTATAGAATTTCTTAATGGGAAATAGTAAAAAAATTACTCCTGGTATGCGACAGTAATCTAAGAAGGGTATAAATATATCTATAAATACTACAGTAACTTTTTTTTAGGCGGTGGCGTGTGGATGTGTTGGTGTGTGAGTGGATATGTGATTCTCTGTAATACGGTCTAAAGTTTTTATAATTTAGCTTACGTAAAGAAAAAAATAAAAGGTAAGTTTAATACAATATATTCAGCAATATAAAAGAAGTCTATGGTCTTATGATTGAAATTTTTTTTTTATACTTTTCATTCAACTAATATTTAACGACAAAGTTATTTACTTTAATAAGTTTCTTTTTAATAATTTTTTTGAAACATTTAACGTAGTTGATTCATATTTTACTCGTAATATAATACAGGACAATAGCATCTAATACTATTTTGCCACGATAAATGAGAAACTGAAAAGTACTTTCATATACTGTAAATATGTGTTTTCATAAATTAACGCCATACATTAAATTAAAGATATCGACAGTAAGAGTTTTCTCAACTACTTTTAAAACCTCTCCTCTTTCTTTACCTAAAAAATCACTAGGTTTATGCTTTTGCTAAGTAGTCTAATCTACGATTATTATCTAGACTATGTAATCTATCTGAAACTAAATTTACCAAAAAATCATTTGAAGTCCGGTCATGTGATTCCTTCGTTTCTTTCCTGTCTTTAATTTCTTGCTGATTTCCTCACGAGTCTTCTCCTCTTTTCTTAAGAATTTCCTTTTCGTTGAGACGAACTATTCACTTCCAAATTATAATTTTGGTCAATTTTAAATGGTGATTCGAAGTACCCTATGAACTTTTAATTTCATTCTGTAGTAACAAATTTGAAGCGTTAAACTTGAAACTTATTTAAAAAAGCGTAATCATTACCATTATCCAATAGATCTTCCATATCATCACGCCCTTTACGTTCCTTTAGAGTCCAATGACCTGGATACTACCTATTAAAATTTAATTCGTACACTTGAGGAATAAACTGCTTTTGATGGAGATCGTTGCCACTTCCTCAAGTTTCACCGGAATTTTTTATTACATCCACATCAGTTTCTTTCTTGATTGATGTAAATTCTAAATCAACTTAGGTACTTTTTGTCTTTGATTCTGTTGTTTTTAAAGATGTGGTTTCATTAACAGGTTTTGGCGAGTTTTTTTTTATGATAAATCAAAATAAAATTCTATTTTAGCGAGATTAGTGTCGGTGATTTCATCGGTATGATATTTTTGCCTATAAATCAAATTTTTTAGTAAGTATCCTTGTAAATGTAAATAATGATGATATGTAACAGCTTATATATGAAGAGTGTTTAGAGTGTTTGATAGATAAAATTTTCTAAATACTGACGAATATTTTTAACATCTTTAAAACAGGAATATATTTATATACTACGACAGTTCCCTACTAACAGTATCATTTTTAAATGGTATATGGTGTAGTTATTAATTGTCTACACGTAACATATTATAAGTGTAATCTATATTATAAAAACGTCAAAATTTAAAATTTAAAATTCAAAACTTTATTTCTTAATATTTGTCTAGACATGGACATGAGAGTTAAGACGATAAAAAGAACATTGAGAGAAAAACAACGACAAAAATATATATATAACAGAACATAAGAAACACTGAGACAACAAAAAAATCTATCATTGTCGAAAAAAAAAAAAGAAAAAGAAATAAAGGAAAAAAATTCAAAAGGAAAAAAAAGATTCCATTATTCTAGTTAAGATTCGTACTTTTTGTAACTGGAAAAGCCATTTCCATCGTTATAATATCTGGAACCGTCAGGATTTTGATAATAATAAGAATTATCTTGGTTGGAGTAATGATAAGAACCGCCAGATGCTACTGAATCTCCACGATGAGTCCATTTATTTCCTTGATCATTAACGCCTCTATAAACGTTATCGTTACTATTTGAAGGTTGAGTTTGAGATGAAGAATTATTATTTGAAGTTGAGGAAGTATTGGAGTTTGTAGACATGATTTTGTATCACAAATTATTTGAACAATATTTGAGTATATTTGAATAATATTTTTTTTTTTTTTTTTTGAAAAATTTCGTTTCTTTTGTAAGTAGGGGATTTTATATGTTATTTGATGAGATAAAGAAATTTTCACACGCAATAAGACGCGTTCAATTAAAAAAACAAAATAATAACCCCCAGTTACACGTCATAAAACAGGAAACTCGCTTTGTACAATATAACCAAATTGCGTTACTGATTATATGGTAAATTCATGATTGCAGAATAATTGTTTGTGTTATTTTTCTTTAAAAAGTAAATTCTAATATATTTATAGGCAATGATTTTATTATTATATATTGTTTTGATCACGATATACTGTAATAGGTAACTTATCACTCACAAGTAGATTTTATAGATATCAAAAGTGATACATTCCTTAGATCAATTGATAACCAGCGTGATACAATAACTGTCGCAGCAGATGTCGAAGGACTTTCCCAGCGTAACCTGGAAAAAATGTCACGAAAAATCACGTGACATTTTTTTGTCACAACCGTCACACCCAGGGACGATGATTTTTTGCGGCGGTATAAAGTAAATTTTGTGTGTGGTAAAAGTAAATTTTGTGAAATTTTGTGATTTGGCCAGAATTATGCAAGGTTAGCCAACATTACGATTCGTAAATTCTGGCCAAATTTAGTGTCTGCCGGAATTATAATAATTTCAAATCCTAAATCAGGCCAAAAACTTGAAAATTATCAACATTTTTATAGCCAAATTTTGTGATTTTCTGTGAAATTCTGTGATCACAAAAAATCATCGTCCCTGGTCACACCCCACTGCGCTTCCATTTTCTATAAGTATCTGAGGGACTCAGTTTTTTTCGAGTAGGTAAAAACTTATTCGTCACACGTTATTCGTCACATGTGCGCCACACTTAATTTTAGTCAAGTTGCGTAATGCCGGCCATTTCGTGACATTTTTTTCAGGTTACGCTAGGGGAGGTTTTTAATTTATTGCATAAATAATGTAGATCAATCGATAACCAGCGTGATAGAATATGACCATTATGATGTTTGAACTTGCCAAAATATATAGAGAATAGCAAATATATACAAAAATATTATTGTAACGGGATTATAACCTCGTTGCTTCGTCGATGATAATTTCACCAAGCATAGAATTATAGAACCGCTAATACATATGAGCGGATTTGGGCTCACTGAATATTGGTCATTTTGGCCAAAATTAACGTTTTTTTGGCCGAAATGATCGATCAGATTCTAAAAAAATCTATCAAGGCAAAAATTACCTTTTTGACCTCCCCGTGTTGTTTTTTTGACACGCACATACTGTATTACATATAGGGAGGGTCAAAAAAGATAATTTTTACGTTAGCGAGTTACACTAGCGCGAGCCAAAGTTCTATTTTAAAATTGAATTGTATACCTAGTGATATAAATTTACTTTTGTAAAATTTCATTGATAAAAGTTTTTCTTAACTTACTAGATATGGTTTTTACAATTATAATCAAAATTTTAATAGTGCCCTAATGAGACAATGATGGAGTCGTTCATTAGAAAAAAATTTAAAATTTAAATTTAAAACTTAAATTTATAAATTTTATACTGCAGCAGTACATACGCATTTTTTATCTTCATTTTCTTTTCCTTCAATTTTATTGTTCATTTTTCTTGATCTTCATTTTTTTATTTTTCTTCACCCTTAATTCTTAGTAGTGTTTAGTTACCTTTTTTTCGTTCTTCAATTTTCATTTTAACTTTTAGAAATGATCCAATTAAAAATAGGTTTGTTTATACTTTTTATAAACATATAAAATTAGTACATATATTTTTTGTGCTTCAACAATATCTAATGACTGTTATTTATCTTTTTTTTTATGACTAAAAAAAATTGTAATTGTTTTGTAATACTTTTACAATTAATTTTCGGATTCTCGGTAATTTTTTCGGCAAATCTCGTGATAAATAAATTGAATAAAATTAGCCAATCGAAATATTTTAAAATCACGTGATAAAATAAGTAATAAACGTCCTTTATTTATTATAAAATGGATAAAACTATGAAACATATCAAATAAAATCTATAAATTATATTCAATTTCTATTAACTATTTTAATGCGCTTTCCTACAATAAATCAATGAATTAGCTGTTATTTAATATTATCCTTATGAATTAATAAAATCTTAATATTTACCTTGATCCGAAGTTTCAATTTGTAATACTTTAGTAATATTACGCTTTTTTGATTCACTAATAAAAATTGTATTTGATTAAGATAAAATAATGTTAAAATTAGAAAATACACTTAAAATTTTTACAGTATAATTTAATATCAATACCTTATGTCTATATCAAGATCTTGTTCCTTGGTATTATATTCTATAAGAATTTAATCCGATTTTAAAATTAACTATTCATAATATCATTTTATATAATTCAGTAACTTACCTCCACTGTCATCAATTAGTATATTATCTAAAAATAATAAAAATAATTATTAATTTCAAACATAAATCATTTTTTTGGAGCAAATAATACGTACCTTGTTTTATACTAAATGATCTAGTTGAAGATAAATTAGAAATCATGGAGCTTAGTGGTCTACTAGTATATATAGCACCAGGATGCGGTTTTTCACTGAATTCAGGACCGAGTTGTTTCAATTGTATTAATTCTAATCTTTTTTGTTCTGCCTGTTTGAATATTTCTACATATTTATTCTTGTGATACCAATTATTAAAACTTTCTGTAATTTCAGTAATTAAAGGTCTTCTTGAAGGATCAGAATCCCAGCATCTTTTCATTAAATTAGCAAAACATTCAGGAGTATCTTTTGTAATTTCAGGTTGTTTTCCGTCAATAATTTTATAAATCAAATCCACGTCATGATCAATATTAGCAAAAGGTTTACAACCTGTTGTTAATTCCCACATAATCATACCTATACTATAAATATCTGATTCCTTTGAAAATGCGCCACCCTTAAATATTTCTGGTGCAATATAGGGTATTACTCCATATACTTCATTATTTGATAAACTATAATTTGCAGGTAATGATAATCCTAAATCACAAATTAACCATGTTTGATGTGCTATCAATATATTGCCACTATGAAAATCCCGATGTATAAAATGGTTTTTATGAATTACATTTAGGCTGAAATAAATAAGTAATAATAATTAATATTATAAATTTAAACAATAATTAATAAATATATAATATAAATACTGACCCTTCTAAAATTTTCCATAAAGTATGTAGTTTTTTATTCCATGCAATATCACTAAAATTCTTATGCAAATGGTTATGTAGATTTCCACCACTTGCATACTTCATTACTAACATATAATCCTTTGTTTCAATATCTTGTGAAATACCATAAACTTCAATGATATATTCCAAACTATAACATTGGAAAAGTGATTTTACCTAAATATATATATATATTAATTATCAAAATTAATTAATAAATGTAATAAAACATATAAATATAATAAACCGATAGAAAAAATCAATTACCTCATTTAAAAAATATTTACTAATGTTATGTGAATTCAAAAATCTTTTTACAGCAACATCTTGACCTAACCAAGTCGCCTTATAGATAATACCAAATCCTCCTTCTGCAACATACTTAAAATTTGTAATTTGAGTATGTGGAATTTCATTTATTGATAGCTGGTCTGTTCTAGAATTAAGGAATATTTTCCTAACATAGTCATATACATTTAATATGTTTGAATTTTCATTAATAGTGTCCAAATAATTAGCAATCTTACAATTAAAACTATCAAATGCTACTGTATTCTGTATATAATATAAAACATCATTAATTTCTCTGTAAGTATCAATATCGTCTTTGGTATTAATATTGATAGATACTACTTCTATTCTTTTACATCTTTTACATTGAGATTGGTTTGTGATTCCAAATATGATATTTGTTGTCAAACAATAATTACATCCAATATAAATAATCTTGCAATTTGAACAAAATTTTTGACAATTAGATTTAAGCATTAGAAACTGATCACAAGCTATACATTGATTATAAGCATCCCACCAAGGTAAGTAAAGAATTGGAATAACTTCTTTAGTTAAAGTTGATTCTACCCATCCAGAAGAAATTTTATAACAATCTAAACACAGCTTAAATTCAATAATATTTACAGATATCTGCTTAATAATTATTTTGCCACATAATTTACAGTCTTTTTCATTTTCAATCAATTTTTGTTGTCTATAATTATCCTTATTATTTACTTCATGAAATCTATTATTTGTGACTATTTGCTTAAAGCATAAAATTTCAGAGCAATTACTACACCACTCATGGATATTTTGCATACAAAAATCTAAACTTCTTGGTTTATGTCTATTGTTACATTGATTATCTATTGTAGTTATATGTACATCTATATTGTTGCTAGCTGTACATTTAATATATAATTTCAGGCAATGCTTGCAATATTTTTGTTTAAATAAGAGTGTTGCAGAATAAGACCTTTTACAATAACAACATTCATTCTCATCATTATTAAAAGGAATAAACATAATTGGTATAATAGGGTTAGAAGAATCTTTCATATTTTCCAAATCTGTGATTTGAAAATATAAAATCAAATCTATTAATGGTTTTAAAGGAAGATAAAGTCTACTTATACGATCATATATTTCTAATGGATTGGAATAATTTCTACTTGTATAATTAGCTATTTGGTTATAATTATATGTATTTATTTATCATTGATAATTACCGATTGTTGCCTTTGCTGCTGACGATGTACTTTGCGACTAAAATATATTGCATGATTTTTTTATCTTCATTTCTGTTCTTTCAATTTTTATTATTCATTTTTCACTTTTTTTTTTTTTGACTTTCTTCACCTTTAATTCTTGGAGGTGTTTATGAGGGATGTGATTACCCCTTGTCAATTTTCACTTTAACTTTAGAAATGAAATAGGTTTGTTTCGCTTAACTATTATGGCAACTACAACCATTTTCACCAATGATGATTATTTGTCACTTTACCGACAAGTTCTAAATTTTTTATATTTAATAATAACTGTTTATAAATACTAGTAGTAAGTTCATTAAAATGTATTTATATCATGGAAATTTCGTAAGTGAACACTAATAAATAAAAAAACACTTAATATATGTAATATAATTATAATATAAAGACTCTTATTATCTCTTATTATTAAAATTAGTCACAAGATTTTTTTTCTTTTATTCTTTATGACTATGATATTAAGTTGATATTTAAAATAAAATTATGTGAAATGATTTTTGGTGAGCTCACTGTCAATAAGTTGATTGTCAGTGAAATAATTTTCGGTTAAATAAAATGGACCCTAATAAGGTTACTTGTCGTAATCATTATGATTATTGGATTTTGTATTATTATTATTTTTTTTTTTTCTATTTTATTAACTTTATTAATATTATAACAATTATTATACAACAATTTGTTATAATTTAGACGTCATGCATTTCCTAATAAAATATCTATCTGCTAACTATCCTAAAATAAAATTATAACATAAAACAAAAAAACGAAATACCAAAACATACTAGCTATTTATGATTTAATTTAACTTTTAATCCAAAATCTATGCTAATACCTACGACCATGAAATACCTTACTAACAAACTTACCACCTCTTTGGTTTATTCTTTTTCTTTTACAACGACTTGCTCGACGTTAGCTATTTGTATTTCTTTGAACAAAACAGGTTTTGTCTGTCTTTATTTACATTACTACCGTCCAAGTCTACGGTGTCCTCGTCCAGTTAAATTTTCTCAAAAAATCCATACCGAGATCGATAATGTCCCTCACGTGATTACTGCGGCAGATATGGCTGATCCCTTCTCGGATAAATTTGTTGCCGCAATTTTGTCCCACAGCAAACCACCTACAGTCCAATTGGTCCTCGTAGAATCTTCTGTTACTTCTTTTGGATTCCATCCGTGCTAAATTTTTGCTGCGCCGAAAGAAAAACTCAATTTTTTTTAAATTTTTTAGAGTTTTCAGTAATTTTTTTAATAATTGATTGGAAAATTTCGTAATAAGTAGATTGAATAAATTAACTAATCAAAATATTTTAAAAAATTAAATGCCTTTATTTAATATCATAAAATGGATAAAACTATGAAATATATCAATAAATATACAAGTTATATTAATTTAAATATCAATTTTTATTAACAATTTTAATGCGCTTTCCTATAATAAATCAATATATTAGTTGATTATTCAATATTATCATATAACTTAATAAAGCCTTAATATTTACCTTGATCAATTTGCAATACTTTAGTAATATTACGTTTTTTTGATTCACTAATAAAAATTGCATTTGATTAAGACAATATAGTATTAAAATTAGAAAAATACACCCCTAAATTTCATACAACACAATTAAATATTATCAGTACCTTATGTCTATATCAAGGTGTTGTTCTTCAGTAATATATTCTAAAAGAATTAAACTGATTTAAAATTAATAATTCACATCATTTTACATAATCCAGTAATTTACCTACCTTGTTTTATACTAAATGATCTCATTGAAGATAAATTAGAAATCATATAGCTCAGTGGTCTACTTGTATATATAGCACCAGAATGAGTAGTTTCACTAAATTCAGGACCAAGTTGTCTTAATTGTATTAATTCTAATCTCTTTTTTTCTGCCTGTTTGAATATTTCTACATATTTATTCTTATGAAACCAATTACTAAAACTTTCGGTAATTTCAGTTATTGAAGGTCTTTTTGTAGAATCAGAATTCCAGCATCTTTTCATTAAATTAGAAAAACATTCAGGAGTATCTTTTGTAATTTCAGGTTGTTTTCCATCAATAATTTTATAAATAAGATTAACATCATGTTCAATATTAGCAAAAGGTTTACAACCTGTTGTTAATTCCCACATGATCATACCCATACTATAAATATCTGATTCTTTTGAAAATGTACCACCCTCAAGTATTTCTGGAGCAACATAAGGTATTACTCCATAAACTTCATTATTTGATAAACTATAATTTGCAGGTAATGATAATCCCAAATCACAAATCAACCATGTTTGATGTGCTAATAATATATTTCCACTATGAAAATCTCGATGTATAAAATGATTTCTGTGAATTACATTTAGTCTGAATAATTAAGAAATAATAAATTAATATTATAAATGCAACAATTATTAATAAGTATAATTATATAAATACTGACCCTTCTGAAATTTTCAATAAAATGTGTAGTTTTTTATTCCATGTAATATCATTAAAATTATTTTGCAAATGATTATGTAAATTTCCACCAATTGCATACTTCATTACTAACATATAATCTTTTGTTTTAATATCTTGCGAAATACCATAAACTTCAACAATATATTCTAAATTACAACATTGGAAAAGTGATTTTACCTAAATATATAGTGGTTATTAAAACTAAATAGATAAATGTATTAAATAATAGTTTGCACCAAAAGTAAAGATCAATTACCTCATTTATAAAATACTTACTAATATATTGCGAATTCAAAAATCTTTTTACAGCAACATCTTGACCTAACCAAGTCGCCTTATAAATAATACCAAATCCTCCTTTTGCAACATACTTAAAATTTTTAATTTGAGAATGTGGAATTTCATTTATTAATAGCTGGTTTGTTCTAGAACTAAGAAATATTTTTCTAATATATTCATGTAAATCGAATAAATTCATATTTTCATTAATAGTATCCATATAATTAGCAATCTTACAATTAAACTTGTAAAGTGCTACTGTATTTTGTATATAATATATAACATCATTAATGTCTCTGCAAGTGTCAATATTATCCTTAGTATTAATAGTGATAAAAGATATTTCTTCTATTCTTTTACATCTTTTACATTGAGATTGGTCTGTAATTCCAAATATGATATTTGTTGTCAAACAATAATTACATCCAATATAAATAATCTTGCAATTTGAACACAATTTTTGACAATTGGATTTAAATTCTAGAACATGATCACAAGTTATACATTGACCATAAGCATCCCACCAAGGTAAGTAAAGAATTGGAATAACTTCTTTAGTTAAAGTTGATTCTACCCATCCAGAAGAAATTTTATAACAATCTAAACACAACTTGAATTCAACAATATTTATTGATATCTGTTTGTAAATTATTTTGCCACATATTTTACAGTCTTTTCCATTTTCAATCAATTTTTGTTGTCTGTAATTATCAGTATTATTCACTCTATAAAATCTATTATTTGTGACTATTTGTCTAAAGCATAAAATTTCAGAGCAACTATTACACCACTCCCAAAGATTCTGTACGCAAAAATCTAAGCTTCTTGGTTTATGTCTATTTCTACATTGAGAATCTATTGTAATTATATGTACATCTAAATTGTTGTTAGCTGTACATTTAATATATAATGTCAAGCAATGCTTGCAATATTTTTGTTTAAATAAGAGTGTTGTAGAATAAGGCTTTTTACAATAATAACATTCATTCTCATCATTATTAAAAGGAATAAACATAATTGGTACAATAGAGCTAAAAGAATCTTCATTATCTTCCATAATTGCAATTTTGAAATACGAAATCAAATCTGTTAGTGGTTTTAAAGGAAGATAAAACCTACTTATAAGATCATATACTTCTAATGGATCAGAATTCATATCAATTGTATAATTGGCTATTTGGTTATATTTATATATATTGACTTTTGTAGAAATAACATTTTCTTCAATATTGGTAATATTATTGATAATAAATATCATTCTTTTACATTTTTTACACTGAGATTGACCCGTAATTCCAAATATAATATTTGTTGTCAAACAGAATCTACATCCAGTATAAATAATCTTACAATTTAAGCATAATTTTTGACAGTTAGATTTAAATTTTAGAAGTTGATCACAAGCTATACATTGATTATAAGCATCCCACCAAGGTAAGTAAAGGATTGGAATGATTTTTTTAGTCAAAGTTGATTCTACCCATCCAGAAGAAATTTTGTAACAATCTAAACATAATCTAAATTCAATCTTATTTATAGATATCTGTTTGTAAATCATTTTGTCACATAATTTACAATTTTTAATGTTTTCTATATACTCTTTGTTATAACAATTAATATATTCCAGTCTATTATTTGTAACTATTTGCTTAAAGAATAAAACTTTAGAACAGCTATTGCACCATTCCTGAATATTTTGTGTACAAAAATATAATCTTCTTAGTTCATGCTTTTTACATGCAGAATAGCCTGAACATATATATACATCCAAATTATTAATAATTGTATGCTTGATATATAAAAATAAACAATCCTTACAATAATTTTGTCCAAATAAAGGCGTTGTAGAATAAGGCCCTCTGCAATAGCAACATTCAATCTCATCATTATTAAAAGGAATAAACATAATTGGTATAGTAGGATTAAAAGAATTATCATTATCTTCTATAATTGTAATATTGAAATATGAAGTCAAATCTATTAATGATTGTAAAGGAAGATAATTCCTACCTATAAAATTATATATATTTAGTGGGTTAGAATTCTTGTTATTTGTATAATTAGCTATTTGATTATAATTATATGTACTGATTTTTGTGGAAACAACACTTTCTTCAATATTGGTAACATCAATGATAATAGATATCATTCTTTTGCATGTTTTACATTGAGATTGTTCCGTAATTCCAAATATGATATTTGTAGTCAAACAGTATCTACATCCAATATAAATAATCTTACAATTTAAGCACAATTTTTGGCAATTGGATTTAAATTCTAGAAATTGATCACAAGCTATACATTGATTATAAGCATCCCACCAAGGTAAGTAAAGAATTGGAATAAATTCTTTAGTTAAAGTTGATTCTACCCATCCAGAAGAAATTTTATAGCAGTCTGAACACAACTTAAATTCAATGTAATATAAACTTAGTATATCTGAAGATATCTGATTGAAAATTAATTTGCCACATAATTTACAATATTTTATATTTTCAATATTATCATAACTACTAATATAATTCCATTTATCATTGGTGACCATTTGTTTAAAGTATATAATTTCAGGGCAATTATCATACCACTCCTGTACTATATGACTTGTATTACTATACTGATAATCTATTGTAGCTATATGTATATCTAAATTGCTGCTAGCTGTACATTTAATATATAATATTAAGCAATGCTGGCAATATTTTTGCTTAAATAAATGTGTTATATAATAAGTCCTTTTGCAATAACAACATTCATTCTCATCATTATTAAAAGGAATAAACATAATTGGTAAAGAATCTTCTTTCAAATTTATGATTTGAGAATATAATGAAATCAAATCTATTAATGGTTTTAAAGAAAGATAACGCCTACTTATAAAATTATATACTTCTAATGGATTAGAATTCTTGTTAACTGTTGTATAATTGGCTATTTGATTATAATTATGTGTATGGATTTTTGTAAAAACACCGCTTTCTTCTACAAAATTGGTAATATCAACAATAATAGATATCATTCTTTTGCATTTTTTGCATTGAGATTGGTCTACAATTCCAAATATAATATTTGTTGTCAAACAGAATCTACATCCAATATAAATAATCTTACAATTTAAGCACAATTTTTGACAATTGGATTTGAATTCTAGAAATCGATTACAAGCTATACATTGATTATGAGCATCCCACCAAGGTAAATAAAGAATTGGAATAGATTTTTTAGTTGAAGTTGATTCTATCAATCCAGAAGAAATTTTAAAACAATCTGAACACAACTTAAATTCAATGCAATATAAATATATTTCAACAAATACCAACTGATTGTAAATTACTTTTCCACATAATTTACAATCTATTTTATTTTCAATAAACTTTTTTCTTTGCTCATTTACAAATCCAAACTTTTGATTTGTAACTATTTGTTTAAAGTATAAAATTTCAGAGCAACTATTGCACCATTCCTGAATTTTATTTGTGCAATAATCTAAGCTTCTTGGTTCATGTCTACTACAATTAAAATAACTTGTCCTTATGCATACATCCAAATTGTCATTAGCTGTATATTTAATATACAACATCAAGCAATGCTTGCAATATTTTTGATTAAATAGATATGTTGTAGAATAAGGCTTTTGACAATAGTAACATTTACTCTCATCATTATTAAAAGGAATAAACTGAATCAAGTTAGGGCTAGATTTTGAATCAAGAGAATTTCCAATATATATATTTGAAAGTTCCATGTGGTTATATTTAAGAAGTAGAAGAAATTTAAAAAGCTAAGTTCAATTATAACGATATTTATATTTATTTGGCATTATACTATGATCTTCCACTTAAACCTGATTTGTGTATTAAATTTATTATAGAACTTTTTTTTTTCGATTTAAGTTCTAGAATTCCACATTATGTCACCAGGCAGATCAGGCAAATCAATTAACCGAAAGTCCGATGATCTGCAACAGACTCTACCGTTTCCAGTAAATGCCATCATTGATTAAAGTGTGCCGGGTTTTGCCGACAGCTCGCGCCTGGATTAGGAAGGTGCAGCTTATTTTATATGGCATGTGGCGCATGTTTAGGCGCATAAACATGGCGCACCTGTCGCATTCAGGCGTTACCTGCTGTTGCATACTTGCGCCTAGGTGTGACAGGTGCACCGGTAACTATGGCAAGCCGAGTTGGACTAAACTATCAGGCATTTGGCGGGTGAAAAATCAAGCGTGGATTGACAAAATGTTACACCGTGCCTGACATTTTCCTGTTCATGCTTGATTTTCATCTATCACGTGCTTGATATTTTTATCTGTTCATGCTTGTGTGGGTGCTTGATGTTTTTATCTGTACGTGCTTGATGGTTTTATCTGATCATGCTTGCTTGATGTATTTCCGTCCGTCTGTGCTTGATGTTTTTGTCTAACTGTGTTTCATTTAATCCAACTATACTCGATAATTTTATCTTTGTCAAAAATTAGTTTCTTTGTCTGATATTTTGTCGATCACATGTTTTTTAAGTTTAAAATTTTACATGAATGATTTTTTTTTATTGCTTTTTTTTTAATATAGGCAAAGGCTTTTTTTTGATAGAATATTTTTGGGAATTTTTTTTAATAAAAAGATTTTTTTTTGATAAAAAATTTCGTTAGACATCATTTCTGATTTTTTTGATGGATATTTTCATCAAAAATCTTATTTATTAGAAGTTTCATTGGAGGATTTTTTTTTAATAAGATTTTTTTTTGGCATATTAGGACATATATATAGGGGTCAGGTGATGAAAAAATTTTTTACTATGAGCTGTACGCATTTTTTCAGGGCCGGAATTATGATAACGTTAGCCAGTTACTATAATAGGGAATACAATTCTGACCGGCATTATCAAAAATTATCTAAAAAAGGAAAGATTTTCATGATTTTTTTAGCAAACTCAAACATGACCTTTTATGTATATTTCTGGGTCCTCATATACTTAATTTGAGGAGAGATTTTTTTTTTTTTGATAGAGAATTCATTGAAAAATTTTTTTTTTTTTGTAGAAAATTATTTTTAATAGGGAGAAAAATAATTTTGTGAGAATTTCGTTAAGAATCTTTTTTTAATAGGAGGGAGTTTTCCTTGATAAAGAATTTCTTTTGGGAATTTTTTTTAATAGGTGAAAGCATTTTCGACGGAGAACTTTATTAGAGAATTTTTTTTAATAGGGAGATTGTTTTGATAGAGGATTTTATAAAGAATTTTTCTTTAATAGGAAGATAAATAATTTCGCTGAGAATTTTTTTTTTTTTGATAGAAATTTCATTATACAGTAGATTTTTTTTTTTGATAGATCATTTCGTTAGTAAATTTTTTTAACAGAGATTTTTTTTATAGAGAATCTCGGTAAAGATTTTTTTTTTTAATAGGAGGGGAGTTTTTTTTGATATAGAAATTCTTTTGGATTTTTTTTTAATAGGTAAGAATCTTTGAATTTTAAAATGTGTTTTTTGATGGAAGATTTTCGTTAGAAACTTTTCTTTAATCGGGATATTTTTTTTTGATTGAGAATTTCATCAGAGAAAATTATTTTTATTTTTTTGATGGAGAATTTTGTTTAGAAATCTTAATAGAAAATTTTATTGAAAATAGTTTTTTTTAATAAGGGTATCGAGAATTTTGGCTTGAAATTTTTTTTAATAAAGAATTTCATTAGAGATCTTTTTTTTTATAAAAAATTGATTGAAAATTTATTGGAAAATTTTTTATTAAGTTTTATAATTTTAATAAATTTTTACTCCTCTTCATCTTCCCATCACTTCTTTTCGTCTCCCATTGATATAATGAAAAGTGTGACAGGTGCGCCGGTAACAGGCCTTTTTTTCGGAAATTACTTGCTTTGAAAATCGAAACCTTTTGAATCTTATAGGATATATCAGCAATTAACTACAAATTTAGGTATTTACCGATCCTTTAGTTAAATTCCATGATCCAAAATATTTTATTATCGCATATAGTACTATCAGAACTATCAGAGTACATGAAAAAATTGTTTTTTAATAAAATTATTTAGAAAATATTAAAAAACAACTATTAGCTGTTCACTTGCTTATTGATATATAACATTTATATATTTTTGTACATAAAATTTCTAATTAGCCTATATTGTATGAAGTTATCTAATGCAAAAATTGTAGGAGGAAATAATGAATTCAATATAATTAATTATTATAATTTTAATTGAGTATAAGTTCCAAACCCGATTTTAGTTATGCTAGTTCTGAAATTTTATAATTTTTTTTAAAAAAAATGAATCAAAAACATGTTTTATTATTAAATTTTATTTATTTTTCAATAGCTGGACCTACTATGCAAATAGTATAAATATCAGAAGAGTCATAAGCCTGCGAATATTCATAACCACCAGAAGTTTTCCTGGTAACGAAATTAGGACCAGGAGACGCCCTCGATTTCCCAGAATATTACATCTTCTACTTGCCATGAGCGGAAGAACGAACAGGGATCTTCAGCTTGCGAAGGCTTGATTAGAGAAATATCTACTAGTATCAGCTGTAACGACATATCTTCTAGCCGAGAGGCGCTTTGCATGACTCTATATCTCGTGTGAATGAAATTTCGCTGACCTCGGGTCAGGGAAAATCGGATATCTTACAAAATATGGCTAACTTATATGAATAAGCTTGTATAGCAGAAGATGAATCGATAAAAGCTAATCGGACATTTGATAAAAGCACTGATGAAAAAGCCAAAGGTCTAATTTATGATTGCTTGCTTCCTGACACTGTAAAATTTGCTGTATCCGATAATTTTTTATCATACCCGATATTTTTGATCCTGAATCCTAATCGACATATTATAATATTAGCACGCGCACTAATTCTATCTTATTTCGTTTAGTATGATTTAGTTCAAATAAGCGAATAAATCAAAAAATTATTAGAATTAAATTCACAATTCGTTGGATTTAAATTTATTATCTGGATATTTGGAAACTTTCACTCAAAATACAAAAATAATCATGT